ATGGTTGAGTTTATAAGATGTGTATTCTTTTAGTATGACTGGTGTTTTCATGAGTTATGAGTTTAAGGGATGGAAACAGAAGTTTTATGTGAGTTAGAACTTGTTTATTTCCTAGAGACTCTAGTGGAAACACCCTGTGTGTTTGAGTTATTTTAGTTGACTTGTGGTTTGGTCAAGGTTGAGATGATATTCCTGGAGAGTGGGATGTCAAGATGAAACCACGGGAGGTAGTTTTAGTCAGAGCTGCTATAGGCATTAAGAATTGATTGCTCGAGGGGATGTGAGTTTCCCTGTATTTTCTTTAAGGGATCTGAGTTCTCTCTAGGGGATGTCAGTTTCCCTGTATTTTCTTTGAGAGATGTGAGTTCTCTCCATGGGATGTGAGTTTTCCTACATAACGAGAGCTTGACGGACTATGTGTCATGAGAGTGTGAGTGGTATGGAGATGAGTAAGAGCAATCAATGTCTGAAACGTGGCTATGAGCATATGACTGGATGTGGACCTCAGAGATCGGGAGTGTTGATCTCGGGTGGTGCTGGCCGGATTGGTCAGGAGTGTTGACCATAGGATGACGGTAATGGGAGATTCTAGGATAAATTATGGTTAGTGGGGGAGAATTGTAACGACTGCGAACCAAATTTGGGAATTTTTTGTCGTGCGTCAATCGGCGCAAGGGGGTGCGTCGATCGATGCAAGTTTCGAATCGAACCAATCCGTTCGATTTTTATCCGCTCAATTTGTGAATGTTTTAAGGAAGCCCTAGGGTTCGACTATATAAGTCGAGGGTTATGTTTTGGTCGTGTTTCAGAGGAGAATCAGGGAGAAAAAGTGAGTTGAGAGAGAATTGAGAGGAATCGAAGGATTATTGTTTTTTTTTCTCATTCTTGATCCTGAAAGCTCGTTATTCTGATTTGTGAGGCTGTAGAATCGTGTTTGATCTGTGTTCTTCGAGGAGGAAGAGGTGAATTCGGATTCTAGGGAGTAGAATCTCTGATTCGTCGTGTTCTTCGTCGATTTCACACCCTTTTGTTTTTTCAGAATCGAAA